GTAAACCTGTTCCTCCAAACTCCAAATCTGCAGAGAAATAAACTCAAACATTCATTTAACTTTTGGAATTAAGAAAGAAATCTGCAATTTGAATAAAAATGATAAAATACTGAACAGAGACGACTCATATCCAAATTGTTTTTTTGTCGATTCTTTGTCGTAACCAATCTCAATAAAATAAATAATGTCGTCTGAAAACACCTTAACAGTCGTAGTAATAACCAGGTCTCCATTCATATGTGCCAAAATGCCTGCCCACTGCTGTCTTACACACATACTGTCTGATATTACATTCATATGTGCCAAAATGCCTGCCCACTGCTGTCTTACACACATACTGTCTGATATTACATTCATATGTGCCAAAATGCCTGCCCACTGCTGTCTTACACACATACTGTCTGATATTAAAGACCTTCTTGATCTAAGGCGCCATGAGCTTTTGTGATCGTCCTAAAAACTGCTCAGAATCTAACTTTTTGTGCTCTTTTTGTGATTTTTTTCAGCTTCAACCCTTTCCAAAGTTAGCATCTCGGTCAACACATATGTTTTAGAATCTTATCCAGACAAAATGCCAATAAAACCAGTCCAGAACAGTGCAGGGGTCGTGGTTAGTCCCAGTAATGGCCTCTTGAAGACCAGAGAGAAACCATGATCCAAACATGGAGATGAAAAGGTCCAACTCAGGCCCGTGGGCCAAATCCGGCCGCAAGACCATTTTTAGTGGCCCCCGATATGATTTTTAATGATCTGTATCAGAGTAAGTTGCAGCGTTGATGGTAATGATATACCATGGCATGTTATACTTAATGTTAAAGTCTGTTATCTCAGGAAAACAACCATATCACTGAATCTGTTCTGATTACATGTTCATATTTTAGACGTTTTTTTATCAATTAACATTTTTGCACTAGTTGGCATGCATCGCACTTAGTTCCCCATATCCCCTTTCCCCTTGTGACGCTCAAAATGAAGCTCAAAAAATAAAATAACAATAATAATACATTTAAAAAATAAATAAATAAAGACATACAAAACAGAATACTAATTAATAGAAAATATATAATAAATATTTTAGAAGTTATAGTTCCTTTTTTGAAACAATCTTTTTGATATTTGACACAGTTCAACTCATGTCAAATCAAAGACAAAAAAAACATAACATTACAAAACTTGTGCCCTTGAGCCAGGTTAGTCAAAGGAAACACACCTGCTCCTCCTCCCTCTCCTCCCTCCCCCTCTCTCTCTCTCTCCCCCTCTCTCCCTCCCCTCTCTCTCTCTCCTCCCCCCTCTCTCTCTCCTCCCCTCTCTCCTCTCCTCCTCTCTCTCTCTCCCCCCTCTCTCTCTCTCCCCTCTCTCTCTCCCCCCCTCTCTCTCTCTCTCTCCTCTCCCTCCCTCTCTCCTTTTGTCCATTAACCGTGCTCTCAGGCGTTCACTCAGTCACGACGCTCTGGTTGGCTCACACACACACACACACACACACACACACACACACACACACACACACAACACTTGGACCACAGCAGATCTACATTTATGACACTATAATTGTTTAAAAAGTGGCTCCAACGTCAAACATGAGAAAATCTGTGGCTGCTGATTACACCTGAAATGACCAATCTGTAATCTGGGTTTGGTTTGAATCTTGTCCATTGTAATGTTGTGTATAATCTGGTTTAAATCACTTCATTTCCTCATTATCGTCTCCACTTCCTGGTTCATCGACTTTGACTGTAATCTTGTATTTGATCTTGTGTATTGGATTTTCTATCGTTTTCATTCCAAACCGAGCTGGAGCACACCAGACTCAAATCAATTCCTCAAGTCTTCAGGCTAAAACTGGACTGACTGAGATTTGCGGTAAAACACCCCCGTCCTAATCCAATTCTGATTAAACTGCGACTCCGGCACGAGACTTTTTGTATTCATTCCATGCCTTTAAAGGAGCAGTGAGTAAACATGTGGCCAAAAGTGGTACTGCAGCCTCTCCCACTCTCCCTGACTCAGGTTGCCAGATATGCAGACGAATCCAGCTGGGACCGTAACAGCTGAATAGACAACAAATCTATAACCAACACCTTTTTCACAAAGATAGAAATCCTGGTTTTATTCCTTGTTTTGCCGTTAATGATTTGAGAATCATAACGAGACCTTTTTTAGTTCTGCGCCACATGGTACTTTACCAGTGAGATTAGCTCCACGCGGTGAGTTCTGGCGCCCGGATCAGAGACTTTCTGATTGGTGAAACGGTGGAGGGCAGGACATCGAAATGAAAACAATAACAAGATTTAGAGGCTGGAAAAGTAATTTAGAAATTCAAATATCTCTGAACTACTGTTATCAGTTAAAGAAGGATTGGAAAAGAACAGATTATTATTATGACAGATTAGGGCCCTTTGATGATGACAGATTAGGGCCCTTTAATGATGACAGATTAGGGCCCTTTAATGACAACAGATTAGGGCCCTTTAATGATGACAGATTAGGGCCCTTTAATGACGACAGATTAGGGCCCTTTAATGACGACAGATTAGGGCCCTTTAATGACGACAGATTAGGGCCCTTTAACGATGACAGATTAGGGCCCTTTAACGATGACAGATTAGGGCCCTTTAATGACGACAGATTAGGGCCCTTTAATGACGACAGATTAGGGCCCTTTAATGACGACAGATTAGGGCCCTTTAATGACGACAGATTACGGCCCTTTAATGACGACAGATTAGGGCCCTTTAATGACGACAGATTAGGGCCCTTTAACGATGACAGATTAGGGCCCTTTAACGATGACAGATTAGGGCCCTTTAATGACGACAGATTAGGGCCCTTTAATGACGACAGATTAGGGCCCTTTAATGACGACAGATTAGGGCCCTTTAACGATGACAGATTAGGGCCCTTTTACGACAACAGATTCGGGCCCTTTAATGACGACAGATTCGGGCCCTTTAATGACGACACAGTGTTTCCCACAGGTTTGAAGGCAATGTGTGGTGGTCGTCGGCACTGTACCACTGTACCCCACTCCCCGCCCCCCACCTTTTTACAGTAATAAGTTACAGCAGATCAAAAGTGACATGTTTTGACAATTTTTAGGCTATTTTGGACCAAAATGGCTGCTTTAAATCAATATTTCTACAGTAAAAGTTTCTGGTCTTTGGTACAGTGGTAGAGGGCAATCATGAGGTCGTGAATCCAGTGAAATTAGTCGCACACCTTTTTACAGTAAAAAGTTACAGTAGATCAAAAGTGACATGTTTTGACTATTTTGGAGGTATTTTGGACCAAAATGGCTACTTTACCTCAATATTTCTACAGTAAAAGTGTCTGGTCTTTGGTACAGTGGTAGAGGGCAATGTTGAGGTCATGAATCCAGTGAAATCAGTTGCACACCTTTTTACAGTGAAAAGTTACAGTAGATCAAATGTGACATGTTTTGACCATTTTTTAGGCTATTTTGGACCAAAATGGCTACTTTAAATCAATATTTCTCAATATTTCTACAGTAAAAGTGTCTGGTCTTTGGTACAGTGGTAGAGGACAATCTTGAGGTCATGAATCCAGTGAAATTAGTCGCACACCTTTTTACAGTAAAAAGTTACAGTAGATCAAAAGTGACATGTTTTGACTATTTTGGAGGTATTTTGGACCAAAATGGCTACTTTACCTCAATATTTCTCAATATTTCTACAGTAAAAGTTTCTGGTCTTTGGTACAGTGGCAGAGGGCAATAATAAGGTCATGAGTCAAGTGAAATTAGTCGCACACCTTATTCCAGTAAATAGTTACAATACTTGAAAATTGCACTAGCGGACCAAATTGTGTACTTTATACATGTAAACAATAGAGTGGCTATCCTCCTGAGGACTCACAATCTGCCGGAGGAATCGTAGGGGGCTGGTGCTATGTGTCATCTCTATAAGGTTTTAATCACAAAAACGTGTCTCCCTGACCCCAGCGCGCTTTCTGTTCGATAAAAATGGGTGACTCCGAAAGGACGTTCCGCTGTTACCGTAAGTTCTCAACAAAACGCGCACCGTCTTTTCCCCGATGCGGGCCGCATGTTCATAGAGCTGAAAGATGCGGGCCACTTTACCGCGGTAAATGAATAGACACAGCTGCTTACAGCGATGATCGCTGATGGAGACGGAGACACGCGGTGTGCACGAAGGGGAGGGGCTGTGTGTGTGTAGGTCTCTGTATGTGGGAGAGACGCGTAGCTTGAGTGAGAGTTACGAAGGGCCGCCACATTTTAAACCCCCCTCCCCGCTGTCAAATTGACCGCTGCGGCGGCACTAGACGATGCATGTTTTAAATAGCGTAACAAAAAAAATATATATATAATAATACGAAACGCAATTTGTGGCGGGCGGTCTCTAATCTGTGGCGGTGCGCCACAGATTAGTCTATGTGTGGGAAACACTGCGACAAATTAGGGCCCTTTAATGATCACAGATTAGGGCCCTTTAATGATCACAGATTAGGGCCCTTTAATGATCACAGATTAGGGCCCTTTAATGATGACAGATTAGGGCCCTTTAATGATAACAGATTAGGGCCCTTTAACAATGACAGATTCGGGCCCTTTAACGACGACAGATTCGGGCCCTTTAATGATGACTTGACAAGAAAACTTACATATTGCTGCTTTAACATCCACATTTTGTAATTGTAGACCTTGAACTTGAATGTAAAAGTGGCCACTCGGCTGATTTAAATCTACTTCACACAATAATAACGCTAGCTTTTGCCTCGGCTAATCTCGTGGGATTGTCCAACGCACTTCTGACTGTTGCACCTGTAGCACAAGATGAAGAGATAAATCCAGTCTAAATCATCTTCATATTCTGCTTTTATAACTATTTTAAAACACGTGGTTTTAGGTCTTGTCCGTGTCGAGGGATTCACCAACGTTCGATCCAAACACACCACCGTCTAACGTTCAAACTTTCCCTATTTTCTCTAAAGTGCAACCTCTCTGCAGTTTCCTCATCAATTATTTATGACAGCAGCTCCCCCCCCCCTCCTCCCCCCCCCCTCCCTCCCTCATCCTCTCCCCCCCTCCTTCCCCCATCCTCCCTCACCCATCCTCCCTCCCTCATCCTCCCTCCCCCCCTGGTCACGACTCGAGATGCTCCCAGCTGAGATAATGCCAGCTCTAAAAAACATGCCCGGTTCATAACAGTCTGATGTTAGATTTATGGACGTCGCATTTTTAACAGTGTCAGACAGGATCACAGTAACATCTGTTCTGTTCCAGATATCAAGCTTAAAGGAGTAGCTCTCTGCCTTTTAGCGTCCCTGGAAAGTAGCTCTCTGCCTTTTAGCGTCCCTGGAAAGTAGCTCTCTGCCTTTTAGCGTCCTGGGAAAGTAGCTCTCTGCCTTTTAGCGTCCCAGGAAAGTAGCTCTCTGCCTTTTAGGGTCCCTGGAAAGTAGCTCTCTGCCTTTTAGGGTCCCAAGAAAGTAGCTCTCTGCCTTTTAGGGTCCCAAGAAAGTAGCTCTCTGCCTTTTAGCGTCCCAGGAAAGTAGCTCTCTGCCTTTTAGCGTCCCTGGAAAGTAGCTCTCTGCCTTTTACCGTCCCTGGAAAGTAGCTCTCTGCCTTTTACCGTCCTGGTAAAGTAGCTCTCTGCCTTTTAGCGTCCCAGGAAAGTAGCTCTCTGCCTTTTAGCGTCCCTGGAAAGTAGCTCTCTGCCTTTTAGCGTCTCTGGAAAGTAGCTCTCTGCCTTTTAGCGTCCCTGGAAAGTAGCTCTCTGCCTTTTAGCGTCCCTGGAAAGTAGCTCTCTGCCTTTTAGCGTCCCTGGAAAGTAGCTCTCTGCCTTTTAGCGTCCCTGGAAAGTAGCTCTCTGCCTTTTAGCGTCCTGGGAAAGTAGCTCTCTGCCTTTTAGCGTCCCAGGAAAGTAGCTCTCTGCCTTTTAGGGTTCCTGGAAAGTAGCTCTCTGCCTTTTAGGGTCCCAAGAAAGTAGCTCTCTGCCTTTTAGGGTCCCAAGAAAGTAGCTCTCTGCCTTTTAGCGTCCCAGGAAAGTAGCTCTCTGCCTTTTAGCGTCCCTGGAAAGTAGCTCTCTGCCTTTTACCGTCCCTGGAAAGTAGCTCTCTGCCTTTTACCGTCCTGGTAAAGTAGCTCTCTGCCTTTTAGCGTCCCAGGAAAGTAGCTCTCTGCCTTTTAGCGTCCCTGGAAAGTAGCTCTCTGCCTTTTAGCGTCTCTGGAAAGTAGCTCTCTGCCTTTTAGCGTCCCTGGAAAGTAGCTCTCTGCCTTTTAGCGTCCCTGGAAAGTAGCTCTCTGCCTTTTAGCGTCCCTGGAAAGTAGCTCTCTGCCTTTTAGCGTCCCAGGAAAGTAGCTCTCTGCCTTTTAGCGTCCCTGGAAAGTAGCTCTCTGCCTTTTAGCGTCCCTGGAAAGTAGCTCTCTGCCTTTTAGCGTCCCAGGAAAGTAGCTCTCTGCCTTTTAGCGTCCCAGGAAAGTAGCTCTCTGCCTTTTAGCGTCCCTGGAAAGTAGCTCTCTGCCTTTTAGCGTCTCTGGAAAGTAGCTCTCTGCCTTTTAGCGTCCCTGGAAAGTAGCTCTCTGCCTTTTAGCGTCCCAGGAAAGTAGCTCTCTGCCTTTTAGCGTCCCAGGAAAGTAGCTCTCTGCCTTTTAGCGTCCCAGGAAAGTAGCTCTCTGCCTTTTAGCGTCCCAGGAAAGTAGCTCTCTGCCTTTTAGCGTCCCAGGAAAGTAGCTCTCTGCCTTTTAGCGTCCCTGGAAAGTAGCTCTCTGGGGGAGAAAGGTTATATGGTCCTGGTCCAGATTTTATACACACATTTTAAGTCTATTTTAGTCTTTCTGAATCCAGCAGCGACAGGAGCTGGTGCTGGATCACAGCTTCAGACTTTACACTTGGTTCTGGTTCTGGTTCTGGTTCTGGATCTGGTTCTGGATCTGGTTCTGGTTCTGGATGATATTTTGTGGTTTTTGGTTAAATGAAAAGCGACTGGAAGCTGCCGGAGGAGAGAGAAACCTCCATTCATCAATCTGCTGAGACTGAGTCCAAACAGAGAGAGACCGAGTCCAGACCGAGTCCAGACCGAGTCCAGACCGAGTCCAGACAGAGAGAGACCAGACAGAGAGAGACCGAGTCCAGACCGAGTCCAGACAGAGAGAGACCGAGTCCAGACCGAGTCCAGACAGAGAGAGACCGAGTCCAGACCGAGAGAGACCAGACAGAGAGAGACCGAGTCCAGACCGAGTCCAGACAGAGAGAGACCGAGTCCAGACCGAGTCCAGACAGAGAGAGACAGAGTCCAGACAGAGAGAGACCAGACAGAGAGAGACCGAGTCCAGACAGAGAGAGACCGAGTCCAGACCGAGTCCAGACAGAGAGAGACCGAGTCCAGACCGAGTCCAGACAGAGAGAGACCAGACAGAGAGAGACCGAGTCCAGACCGAGAGAGACCAGACAGAGAGAGACCGAGTCCAGACAGAGAGAGACCGAGTCCAGACCGAGTCCAGACAGAGAGAGACAGAGTCCAGACCGAGTCCAGACAGAGAGAGACCAGACAGAGAGAGACCGAGTCCAGACAGAGAGAGACCGAGTCCAGACCGAGTCCAGACAGAGAGAGACAGAGTCCAGACCGAGTCCAGACAGAGAGAGACCAGACAGAGAGAGACCGAGTCCAGACAGAGAGAGACCGAGTCCAGACCGAGTCCAGACAGAGAGAGACCGAGTCCAGACAGAGAGAGACCAGACAGAGAGAGACCAGACAGAGAGAGACCGAGTCCAGACCGAGAGAGACCAGACAGAGAGAGACCGAGTCCAGACCGAGTCCAGACAGAGAGAGACCGAGTCCAGACCGAGTCCAGACAGAGAGAGACAGAGTCCAGACCGAGTCCAGACAGAGAGAGACCAGACAGAGAGAGACCGAGTCCAGACAGAGAGAGACCGAGTCCAGACCGAGTCCAGACAGAGAGAGACCGAGTCCAGACCGAGTCCAGACAGAGAGAGACCGAGTCCAGACCGAGTCCAGACAGAGAGAGACCAGACAGAGAGAGACCAGACAGAGAGAGACCAGACAGAGAGAGACCAGACAGAGAGAGACCGAGTCCAGACAGAGAGAGACCGAGTCCAGAGAGAGACAGAGTCCAGACAGAGAGAGACAGAGTCCAGAGAGAGACCGAGTTCAGAGAGAGACCGAGTCCAGACAGAGAGAGACCGAGTCCAGAAAGAGACCGAGTCCAGACAGAGAGAGACCGAGTCCAGACAGAGAGAGACCGAGTCCAGAAAGAGACCGAGTCCAGACAGAGAGAGACCGAGTCCAGAAAGAGACCGAGTCCAGACAGAGAGAGACCGAGTCCAGAAAGAGACCGAGTCCAGACAGAGAGAGACCGAGTCCAGAAAGAGACCGAGTCCAGACAGAGAGAGACCGAGTCCAGACAGAGAGAGACCGAGTCCAGACAGAGAGAGACCGAGTCCAGAGAGAGACCGGGTCCAGAGAGAGACAGATTGCTGGTACTTGTATTTTTGCTTCTGTCTCATCTTCAGATCAACTTTCTCAAACAGAAATGTAAAAAAAAGTATCTCTCTCTCATCCAGCCCTCAGCCCAAAGAGTCAGAAAGTGCCTTACAGGGGTGTTCCATGTTTTATTGATGAGAAAGTGCCTCCAGCTTCAGTATATTCTGATGCTTTGCTGTGTCATAGTTGTGCCATACAAATAACCCTGCCTTGGCCACAGACAAAGACCTGTCTGTACCATGTGTGTACCATGTGTGTACCATGTGTGTACCATGTGTGTACCATGTGTGTTAACTTCATCTGGTTTGGGAAAAGTGCCAAAAAGGAAAGATCCAGAGAGATTTTGGGGAGAAAACACAAACTCTCTGGATTTTTCCACTGGACAAATGTTTTTACTTTTATGGATAAATATGAAAACAATCAGAGTAAAATCCACAGAGCTCTCTGTGTCTAAATATGGAAGAATCTCTCATCTCTACCTTCCTCCCTCCCCCTCCATCTCTTCTTCTCCCTCCCTCCCCCTCCATCTCTTCTTCTCCCTCCCTCCCCCTCCATCTCTTCTTCTCCCTCCCTCCCTCTATCTCTTCTTCTCCCTCCCTCTATCTCTTCTTCTCCCCTCTTCTTTTCTCTCCCCTTCCCTCTTCCTCCCTCTCTCTCCCTCCTCTCTCTCCCTCCTCCTCTTCCTCCCTCCACCTCTCTCTCTCTCCCCTCTCTCTCCCTCCCTCTTCCTCCCCTCCACCTCTCCCTCCCCTCTCCCTCCCTCCCCCCCTCTCTCTCTCTCTCCCTCCCTCCCTCTTCCTCCCCCTCTCCCTCTATCTCTTCTTCTCCCTGCCTCCCTCTATCTCTTCTTCTCCCTGCCTCCCTCTATCTCTTCTTCTTCTCCCTGCCTCCCTCTATCTCTTCTTCTCCCTGCCTCCCTCTATCTCTTCTTCTCCCTGCCTCCCTCTATCTCTTCTTCTCCCTGCCTCCCTCTATCTCTTCTTCTCCCTGCCTCCCTCTATCTCTTCTTCTCCCTCCCTCTATCTCTTCTTCTTCTCCCTCCCTCTATCTCTTCTTCTTCTCCCTCCCTCTATCTCTTCTTCTTCTCCCTCCCTCTATCTCTTCTTCTTCTCCCTCCCTCTATCTCTTCTTCTTCTCCCTCCCTCTATCTCTTCTTCTCCCCTCTTCTTTTCTCTCCCTTCCCTCTTCCTCCCTCTCTCCCTCTCTCTCTCCCTCTTTCTCTCGTCCTCTCTCCCTCCCTCTTCCTCCCTCCACCTCTCTCTCCCCCCCTCTCTCCCTCCCTCTTCCTCCCTCCACCTCTCCTCTCTCCCCCTCTCTCCCTCCCTCTTCCTCCCTCCACCTCTCTCTCTCTCTCCCCCTCTCTCCCTCCCTCTTCCTCCCTCCACCTCTCTCTCTCTCCCCCTCTCTCCCTCCCTCTTCCTCCCTCCACCTCTCTCTCTCCCCCTCTCTCCCTCCCTCTTCCTCCCTCCACCTCTCTCTCTCTCCCCCCCTCTCTCCCTCCCTCTTCCTCCCTCCCTCCACCTCTCTCCCTCTCTCCCTCTCTCTCTCTCTGGGACACTGAGAGTGAGTCTTTTACTTCACTTTACAATCACAAAAGAGGAAAAGCTTTAGCGATGCACTGATCCCAAGGTTTCTCTGCCTCCTGAAGCACAAAGGGTTTAAAGCTCTGGGTTTAAAGCTCTGGGTTTAAAGCTCTGGGTTTAAAGCTCTGGGTATGTAAATAAACATGTCTTTTGCAAACTTGTAAGAAAGAGCCCTGTGAGTCCGTTTGACTCCTTTACATGGTGCTAACATGGACATGATGCTAACATGGACATGATGCTAACATGGACATGATGCTAACATGGACATGATGCTAACATGGACATGATGCTAACATGGACATGATGCTAACATGGACATGATGCTAACATGGACATGATGCTAACATGGACATGATGCTAACATGGACATGATGCTAACATGGACATGATGCTAACATGGACATGATGCTAACATGGACATGATGCTAACATGGACATGATGCTAACATGGACATGATGCTAACATGGACATGATGCTAACATGGACATGATGCTAACATGGACATGATGCTAACATGGACATGATGCTAACATGGACATGATGCTAACATGGACATGATGCTAACATGGACATGATGCTAACATGGACATGATGCTAACATGGACATGATGCTAACATACAGTACAAATACAAACATAATTCTAAAAGTGACCAAAAATATCAAATCTTTTCATCTGAACCTTCAAAAAACCATGAAATCAGAAGCAAAACGTCAGAGAAAAAAAACCCAAAGCAGTGCTCTCTGATGTAAACACATTCCAGCCGCATGTGACATCACCCTGTTTACTTCTGGGGTCCAGCAGCTGATGGCGAGCGGCCCACATCTCGTCTCCCAACACAACATTAGCGGCGTTAGCGGCGGGAGCTCGTGTTTCTGGGGGGACATTTGAGGACGTGACACCGCGGTCATCTCCCGGTTCTTAAATTAGCTCGGTTCGTTAATTTACACCTGCACTAGGACCCAGCGGTCGCAAAGAACAGAGAGCTCGGGTTGCGGCGTATCAAAGTTTAGCGTTAGCATAACTCCGGGATTGGAACATTTGTTTTATGATTAATGGCGTGAATAACCGACCGTGACACATGCTCTCAGCAGTGCATTGTGGGTAGAGGACGGTGTTGAGTCTTTCCCAGAGATCTATCGAAGCAGGATCTATGACTACATTAGATTCTTAAGGTTAATTAGGTCATTTAGTGCGGTTTTTAAATACAAAACTTACTTGTAGATAAAGTATTTCTAAAGAAGAGGAAGAAGCGGAAGAAGAGGAAGAAGAAGAGGAAGAAGAAGAGGAAGAAGAAGAGGAAGAAGAATAAGAGGAAGAGGAAGAGGAAGAGGAAGAAGAGGAAGAAGAAGAGGAAGAAGAAGAAACAAGAAGAAGAGGAAGAAGAAGAGGAAGAAGAAGAGGAAGATGAAGAAGAAGAAGCGGAAGAGGAAGAGGAAGAAGAGGAAGAAGAAGAGGAAGATGAAGAAGAAGAAGCGGAAGAGGAAGAAGAAGAGGAAGAAGAAGAGGAAGAAGAAGAGGAAGAATAAGAAGAGGAAGAAGAAGAGGAAGAGGAAGAAGCGGAAGAGGAAGAAGAAGAAAAATATGTGTTTATTTATTATGCAGTTTTTTGTGTAGTTACTGAAAACCGTTTATACACTTCAACTATAATGTCAAAAACAAACAAACGAAACACATTTTTATGTTTGGCTAAGTGAGGAGAAGGCGGATAGCACTCTCGCCTCTCAGCAAGAAGGTCCTGGGTTCGAATCCCGGTCGAACCAGGGCCTTTCTGAGTGGAGTTTGCATGTTCTCCCCGTGTCTGCGTAGGTTTCCTCCGGGTGCTCCGGTTTCCCCTACCACTAAAAATATGTACAATAGTTCTGGCATGTGCCTCCTGTACTGGCCCCGCTCCCAAAATTAACAATTGTAAACCGCTTTGAGACTCCGATGTGCAGTGAAAAGGCGGTATATAAATAAAGATTACTTACTACTACTTTTCAATATTCCGTTTCATAAATATGATCTACAGATGTGAAATGGAATTCTACCGATGTAATCCAGACAGAGAGAGACCGAGTCCAGACCGAGTCCAGACAGAGAGAGTCCAGACAGAGAGAGACCGAGTCCAGACCGAGTCCAGACAGAGAGAGTCCAGACAGAGAGAGACCGAGTCCAGACAGAGAGAGACCGAGTCCAGACAGAGAGAGACCGAGTCCAGAAGTCAGAGAGAGACCGAGTCCAGACAGAGAGAGACCGAGTCCAGACAGGAGAGAGACCGAGTCCAGACAGAGAGGAGACCGAAGTCCCAAGAGAGAGCCCCCAAGTCCAGACAGAGAGGGGACCGCGTCCAGAGACCCACAAACAACATGGGGGGGGGGAACACGATCCCGGACCGTTACGTTGCAGGATTCTATGACTACATTAGATTCTTAAGGTTAATCAGGGTAAAAAACCAGGTTCTAGTTCAAAGTTTGTGACTTTATTAAAATTTATACACATTCATCTCTGCCCCTGATGGACCAACACCTCCATGTGGGTTTGATTCTCTAATCTGTGTTGGCGAATCCACAGTTTGGTCGAATTGAATTGGTTCTAAAATGAGTAAACTTTAGCTTTTAGCATAAACTAGCGTATACAAATGTGATACACTGAATCTAGAATCTCCAAACCGTTGGTCAGGCCCCAGTCTACAAACAAAACTAAAGTCTAGTTGCATGTGACTTGTGTTTGTCCTGGATCTGGACTGGATCTGGACTCAGCAGAGGTCCCTGTGATCTCGGGGCCCCCCACAGCTGATCTCGGGGCCCCCCACAGCTGCTCGCGGGGGCCCGAGCCTGACCCTTCTGCTTTGGGACGTGTTCACACAGCTCTCACAGAGACCAGACCAGGGACTGGAGCAGAAAATTACCAATATTTATGAACTCTTTTAGCATCGCATCCGCTACAACCTCTTTTAGTTCTATGTCAACTTGTCCCTGACAACTAACAACAAATACATACATAAAATTACTGTTGTAACCAATAAAAAGTCCAGAATATCTTTTCACAACACAACAATTTGGACACATTCCTAGAGTCCATAACCAAAACGAACCTCCAAGTAGTTAATTGTTCCTGCAGCAGATATAATTTTACAGTGGACAGTTTCCAGCGTCCCGTGACCGGTCGGGCGCCACAACTGGTTCTCCCTGTCAACAGCCCCCCCCCCCCTAATGAACAAAGACATAGGACCTCCCGTTATCCCGACGACTAAAGGTCACCCGTCTCCACCACGGCCGCCACGTTCTTGAGTTTCAAAACAAGCGCCCCCCCCCCCAAACCTGAGGACGCCTCTGCACGCCGCGGCCCACTTGGCTTTCGACCCGAGCTAACACGTGCGGCCTTGAGCATTGTCGTTTTTTAAAATGTTCTGTCTGAAAACGCAGATGTGAAGCATGGACACGCTTGCATACGGCAGCTCGGGAGTTGTGTAATTTGGAATACAAAAAGAGTCAGTGTTGGGAAAAAAAATGTTATGAGCTTCATCTTTACGAGCGCGGCCCTGAATCTGCTCTTGATGCTTTCTGGATTTTAAATCAGAAATCCCTTTGACTTTCAGAAAAACCCGAAACGGCGTTCTGTGTTTGTTTTGCCGGGAGTGACTCAGAAAAAAATGTTCCCGAAAATGACAAAAGCGAGATAGACGGAGGCAGAATGAAGCTCGGCTGTGTACACCTGGATATACAAGCAAGCATGAGGAAGAGAAAGAAGAGGAGGAAGAAGAGGAAGAAGAAGAGGAAGAAGAAGAGGAAGAGGGGAGAGTGAGATTTGTGACCAGACTCGTGAGGACTGGGACGAGCAGCCGGCCGTACCATCTGCTCACACTGCTACAGAAACATCCAGAGACGAGAGCAGATCTAACACAGCAAAACCAGCACCTATGCAAAGGCTGCATCCAAATTCAAACCAACACACCTCCTTTCTCTCGCTTCCTTCGCATTTGTATTGACCTTTTCCAGCATATATTTTGACTTAAGTGAGTTTAAACATCTCAAAGAAGCGTGAAACTTCTCTTTCCCAAACCAGGGGTCTTGTGTAAGATTCATTTTGAAGAACAAGGAAGTATAAAGAAGGACGTTTTGCTCAATTTGGATGCAGACAAGTCCATGCATAGAGTTCTTCTGATGGATTTGAACCATTTTTGGGGCAAGACAGACGCAGCAGAAGCAGGAAATATATATTTTTCTACATTTTGTGTTCTACAATCCAGGTGCCCAGACGCTTTGACTCTGACTTTTGCAATTTTCCCACAGAAATCCTGTCAATTTAGATACAAAATAATTGGTTAGTTAATAGAAATTCCAGTGGACCAGGCCACAATCAACAAACGAAAAACCCATTTCCACAGTAGACTTGGAAGGTTATTTTAACAAGACAAAAAAGTACAGAAAGCTAGTACAGCTTGATTATGAAAAGAACCTTCTAAGCCTTAATAGTAATAGTTAGTAATTGTTATACCTCCAGAAGTTCAAAAATAATATCCATATCCTGTATATTACAAAATGACCACGAGACGTCTGCCCATGTGTCCGAGCCTCTCCTTGGACTTCCATTCACAGCTAAAGGTGCTAAATGTGGCTAATCCTCAACCCCTTTTGAGAAACTGGGATGCTATATGCTGCGCTAATGCTATATGCTGCGCTAATGCTATATGCTGCGCTAATGCTAGAGGCCGGCGCGCTACAGCAGACCCTGGGCTTAGGACGAGGCTAAACGGGCTGGAAATAACCGCCTTGACTTCGGGATCATTGGACGTAGCATTGAACTGTAGTCTGACAAATGTAAGCTAGGTTTGGTCCATGAGGTTTTTTTTACAATTGGCTAATTTAGGGCAAGATTTGTGGCTAAATTCTTACATTTTGGAACAAGTGAAAAATGAAATGGGGCTGTTTCTATTCTACGGTTTTATTCTTTTGTCCTTATTCAGACGATGTGTTTAATCTGTGATGTTTAATCTGTAATCTGTATAAACTCTTGTTATTCAGTAATGTGTGGATAAACATAGAAGCTAGAGAATAACAAGAACAGCAAAAGACTTTAGGTGGAAGACAAAATTCTACTGTTTTTGCAAACGTGATTTGGGGAAAGAAAACTGGAAAATAATTTAAATCCATTTCTGAGACATTCATTTTTCCCTTTTCTAAATAATTGGTTAAAAAAAAATATTAAATCAATCCATCGTTAAGACTCCTACACACACCGTACAATGCCGGCAGTAAATTAAATATATTTTGTAGTTTTTGTACAGAGTTTTTTGAGAGTCGTAGTTTTAAAACCACGTTACCACAAAACATTGGAACAGGATGACTCTGGGGTGACTCTGGGGTGACTCTGGGGTGACTCTGGGGTGACTCTGGGGTGACTCTGGGGTGACTCTGGGGGTGACTCTGGGGGTGACTCTGGGGTGACTCTGGGGTGACTCTGGGGTGACTCTGGGGTGACTCTGGGGGTGACTCTGGGGGTGACTCTGGGGGTGACTCTGGGGGTGACTCTGGGATGACTCTGGGATGACTCTGGGGTGACTCTGGGATGACTCTGGGGGTGACTCTGGGATGACTCTGGGATGACTCTGGGATGACTCCGGGGTGACTCCGGGGTGACTCCGGGGTGACTCCGGGGTGACTCCGGGGTGACTCCGGGGTGACTCCGGGGTGACTCCGGGGTGACTCTGGGGTGACTCTGGGGTGACTCTGGGATGACTCTGGGATAACTCTGGGATAACTCTGGGATAACTCTGGGATAACTCTGGGATAACTCTGGGGTGACTCTGGGGTGACTCTGGGATAACTCTGGGATAACTCTGGGATAACTCTGGGATAACTCTGGGGTGACTCTGGGGTGACTCTGGGGTGACTCTGGGGTGACTCTGGGATAATACTGCAAAAAGTACAAGATAAAAGTACGAACGGATTTCATCAAGCTTGCCAATTACTTTCTGGTAGATTTTTTTGTTTACATCTTTTTTAAATAGGTTAAAAATATAAATCTTGACTGGTCAAATCTGATTTAAGATTTATTTTTAAGTTAAAATGATTTAAATTAGGTAAAATGCATCTTGATTTCAATTCATTTTGCCAACGGAACGAGCAAATTCTTACTTGGAATGAGAAAAAAGAAGGACTAAGAGTTAAATCTAACATGGTGTGGTGTAATTGAAGACAAAACATAATTCAGAGTCTCTGCTCATGACTCAACTTCAAGAAACTAGATTAAAAACTGGGCTTTCGTGCAGAAGGGATTCATTCTGCCTGGGGTCAGAACAGCGTGGATGGAGCGTGGATGGAGCTAAAATCAGCCACAGGTCTGTTCATGACTGAGCACTGCTGAAACATAAGCAGGAAGTCCAGAGGAAGTCCAGAGGAAGTCCAGAGGAAGTCCAGAGGAAGCCGGAGGTTCCAGGACAGACCTGAAGCTGAAGCGACTGTTGGGAATAAATCCAGATTAGTGGAAGTGGCGGAGGTCATCCACGGGTGACTGGAGCCGAGCCAAAGAGTCTGCACCAGGACCAGGTCTGCAGACCCAGGGCGGACCCAGAGAGGACCCAGAGAGGACCCAGAGAGGACCCAGACAGGACCCAGAGAGGACCCAGAGAGGACCCAGAGAGGACCCAGAGCAGAGCAGACCCAGAAAGAACCCAGAGAGGACCCAGAGAGGACCCAGGGCGGACCCAGAGCGTACCCAGACAGGACCCAGAGAGGACCCAGAGAGGACCCAGAGAGGACCCAGGACCCAGAGAGGACCCAGAGAGGACCCAGAGAGGACCCAGAGAGGACCCAGAAAGGACCCAGAGAGGACCCAGAGCAGAGAGGACCCAGAGAGGACCCAGAGCGTACCCAGACAGGACCCAGAGAGGACCCAGAGCAGAGAGGACCCAGAGAGGACCCAGAGAGGACCCAGAGCAGAGCCAGGGAGCAAAGCGGACCCAGAGAGGACCCAGAGAGGATCCAGAGAGGATCCAGAGCGGACCCAGAGCGGACCCAGAGAGGACCCAGAGCGGACCCAGAGAGGACCCAGAGAGGACCCAGAGCAGAGCAGACCCAGAAAGAACCCAGAGAGGACCCAGAGCAGACCCAGAGAGGACCCAAAGAGGACCCAGAGAGGACCCAGAGCAGAGCAGACCCAGAAAGGACCCAGAGAGGACCAGAGCAGAGCAGACCCAGAAAGGACCCAGAGAGGACCCAGAGCAGACCCAGAGAGGACCCAAAGAGGACCCAGAGAGGACCCAGAGCAGAGCAGACCCAGAAAGAACCCAGAGAGGACCCAGAGCAGACCCAGAGAGGACCCAAAGAGGACCCAGAGAGGACCCAGAGCAGAGCAGACCCAGAGAGGACCCAAAGAGGACCCAGAGAGGACACAGAGCAGAGCAGACCCAGAAAGGACCCAGAGAGGACACAGAGCAGAGCAGACCCAGAAAGGACCCTGAGAGGACCCAGAGAGGACCCAGAGAGGACCCAGAGAGGACCCAGAGAGGACTCATGGTCTTGTTTTTGGTTGTTCTGAACCACATTTTCTGTACTTTTTCCCCCATCCATAAACATAGCATCTACACTAGCTCCCGTGCGCTACGCTAGCCCAGTCCATTGCATTGGCTTATAACTGATCATATTAGTGCTAATTGAGTGATCAGACAGTAGACACATGTACTTACAGCTCTGAGCCCCATATAACTCCAGCAGTGTGTGTGTGTCTGTGTGTGTGTGTGTCTGTGTGTGTGTGTCTGTGTGTGTGTGCGTTGGCTAGCAGGAGATTTAGCCTGGCCCGGTGCCATAGCGTGAATTAAACTACTTATTTCTGGTGAATGAAAGCGTTTGCGAGGCTCCGGCGTGACAGCGTTTTGCTCTAATCACACACAGCCACATGTTTAGACAACACGCCAGCCTTAAGAGCAGGGTCCCGGATGGTTTTTGTCTAAGTTTATGTACGATTATACATGTATTATTATCACAAATGAAGCGTATTATGGACACATCGGAAGCTGGAGAACACTGGAAGCAATTGGTTTTCCCACACTGTGATTGATACACCACAACAATGGGGGGATTAGAATCTACAGGAGCCAAAAGAGAGGGGTCCGAGCCTTTATTTACTCTTAATGACAAGTGGGATTTTACAAAAGGATGCTGGGAAAATAATATTGTGTAAATGTTGTGGTCTTGATGGTTAAAACTACTTACTTTTTACATAATTCAAGTGTTTTTCATTGCTCCAGAGTCTAGTTTTGATCCGCTGCAGGATTTTGTAGGAGACAGTAGCTCAGTTGGTAGAGCATTGGCCTTTGAGCCTGAAGGTTGTGGGTTCGAGTCCACCTCAAGACTTTTAGCATCGACTCCCACTGATGCCTGCTGTGGTTGTGTCCTTGGGCAAGACACTTCCCCCACATTAGAATGAGTCTGTTGTGTGTGTGAGTGGTTGGTGGGAGGCACAGACTGGTTGCCTGGCTTCTGTCAGTGTGCCCCAGGGCAGCTGTGGCCACCACCGTGTATGGATTGAATGATAATGACATGTGAAGCGTCTGTGAGAGTCCAAAAAAGCGCTGTATAAAACCAATTATTATTATCATTATTTTGCCCTCCTTTAAATGAACTTTTTATTAAACAGGTCGTAGAGCATTGAGTCCTGGTATTCACACAGCGGTTTACAACAAAATCAGTTGTATTTTTAAATTAATTGCGTGATTTTATTGCCACATTTCATGAAAATAACCACAACACTCAAGAAACATGGCTTTTTCTTTTCAAACAAGAAAGCTGCAAGACATTTACAAACACAGAAGAAAGATTCAGACAAGAATGGAACCGATTAGTTACACTTCCAGATATTTAGACATCTGCAGAAATGTACAGAGCGGTTTTAAAGTAGATTACCGAGACAAAAACAAGAAAAATTTGTTATTTATTCATATATTTATTTAGTTATTTGAAAGGGGACTGCGCATTTAATCCACACTACACCATGTTCATGCTCCTGCGTTGGCTAAAATACGCCAATTTCTATCGGTAGTCCCAGGGGCAGATGTTAAAACCAGCCTAAAAGTAAAACACAAATTAAAAACTGACATTTTTGTGGAAGAGGAACTACAACACGACTGTTTGTTTGTAGTTTTCAAAGCTCTGGTGGTTATTGAACGAGTTAAAGTTTCAACATTATGGGCCTCACAAGTATAAAATTATGGACTATCTTTTCCCCTCTTCCTCAATTACCTCAATCAAGAAAATACAATTAGACAAAATGCAGCTTTAAGAACAAGTAAGCGACAATCCCAGATATTTAGACATCTGCAGAAATGTACTGACCTGTTTTAAAGTAGATTACCGAGACGGAAACTCGCAAAATGTGTTCTAATTTATTGGTCGAAGTCAAAAATGTCAATAACAACACGACTGTTCGTTTGGATTTTCAAGTGTGATTTTGCTTTTGCTCATTTGTGGAGTTAATCCCACAGAAATAATAATCATTTTCAACAGAATGTGCCTTTATGGACTTTAGCAGTGACTTTCCGATGTGTGGGTCTTTCTGCCTGAACTGTTTAGAGAATGACCGACTGAATACATGTGGATCAGGACTCTTGTGTGTTGAACAGACAGATTTAACCGGACTAGCCTTTCAACAAATGTTTATTCTCGACTAATGGACTGTCATAATGTTTCAACTCTCTACACGTTTGGACTCGGGTCGCTAATGGCTTTGTTGAGGCTCATGGTTATAGTCGTGTGAGATTTGGAGAATGAGGAGATTGTCGTACTTTGGGCAATAAAAATAGATTAATTTAACTTCTTGACTGCAAAATTACATTAAAGATCTACATTTTTAACACTAACATTTGTGATTACAGTATTTAGAGCTACATTTTTGACGTTTTCTTTACATTTTTATCCATTTTTTAGTTTTACACTGGTCCAGACCAGAGCAGAGAGGATTCATGGTTTTACACTGGTCCAGACCAGAGCAGAGAGGATTCATGGTTTTACACTGGTCCAGACCAGAGCAGAGAGGATTCATGGTTTTACACTGGTCCAGACCAGAGCAGAGAGGATTCATGGTTTTACACTGGTCCAGACCAGAGCAGAGAGGATTCATGGTTTTACACTGGTCCAGACCAGAGCAGAGAGGATTCATGGTTTTACACTGGTCCAGACCAGAGCAGAGAGGATTCATGGTTTTACACTGGTCCAGACCAGAGCAGAGAGGATTCATGGTTTTACACTGGTCCAGACCAGAGCAGAGAGGATTCATGGTTTTACACTGGTCCAGACCAGAGCAGAGAGAATGCTCTGAACCAAGCGGCTCTATCTCTGCTGCTGTGTCTTATTACTGTTTTTAGAATGATGTATTTGTTTGGACGTGTTTCTGATGATACTGGACTCATGCATTTCTCCAACACGGATCAATAAAGTATCTATCCAGATTAAAACGTCTAAACTTTAGCAAAATGAAGAAGCAAGAAGTGACGTATTCCCAAGATTCCAATTGCTGAGTCCAAACTGTGGTGTGTGGTAGTTCTTAAACCCAGCATCGGTCCGGTGGATGCAGTTGCCGTGGTTACGGTGTGGCGGCGACGTCTCGTCAGGTTAACGAGATGCTGATTACAAACCAAACACCGGTGCGCCGTGGTCCGCTCTTTCACAATAGGCATTATCAAAAGTGTCAATGAAACCATTTGGAGGGGGGTCTGAAATGTGGCGGACGAGAGATTGGAAACGATTGAAAGTAATCGCAAGCGGCAAAATTATTGTGTTTGTGAGAGTTTGTGTTTTTTGTGGGAGCCATGTTGTGAAATCGAAGTAGGGATGTTGAAAAGAATGTTTGGAAAGATGTTCTCTCAGCGATTTCACACTTTAGAGAATTTGTCCCCATAATGTCAAAGTATGTGTATGTGTGTGTGTGTGTCGTTCAAACCCATTTGTGTGTATTCGTGAGCCAAAATGTCTCATAATTTGTTGATAAAGAGGGCTTCATACAAACACCAGCAGAACATGCCTCTTGAAGATGGATGTGGGTTCAGTTTTACAGGATTTAAAAATTGTTCATAAGTTATCAAAGACTATAATTACAAAAGAGCCACAACACCAGCGGTTAGAGAGACCAGAGGGAGAGACCAGAGGGAGAGACCAGAGGGAGACCAGAGGGAGACCAGAGGGAGACCAGAGAGAGACCAGAGAGAGACCAGAGAGAGAGATGGACCAGAGAGAGAGACCAAAACGAGAAAAGAGATTGAGAGACCAGACAAAGACGAGAAGGAGAGACCAGAGGAAGACACAAGAGAGACAAACCGCGAGAGAGACCAGAGAGAGGCCATAGAGTGAGGAACCAGAGAGAGGCCATAGAGTGAGGAACCAGAGAGAGGCCATAGAGTGAGGAACCAGAGAGAGGCCATAGAGTGAGGAACCAGAGAGAGGCCATAGAGTGAGGAACCAGAGAGAGACCATAGAGTGAGGAACCAGAGAGAGACCATAGAGTGAGGAAC